TTTCCCTGCCTCCCAGGGCTCCCTTTTGCCCACTTTTGGCTGCCCATGTTGACTACGCCAGGGAGCAAGCAGAGACGGGTTAACCTGCCTACCCCCACACTAGGCTGCCACTTTTCTCTGAGCTGAGCCCACCCAGAGAGCTGCAGGCTACCTGCAGTAGCCAGGCAGGTGTGTTATCCTTCCCCTAGGGCAGACAGCATGGGCAACCACAAGTAAGCTAGTGCGGGGGCTGTGGGAAGGGGGTAGTGAGCAGGGATCTGGGGCATGGGTAGGGCAGTGGGGGCAGTGGGTTTGATCCAGGTCAGTGGTGGGTATGATCCAGGTCACCTGGGGGTCTTTAAGAGGAGGCTAGATGTACACCTTGCTGGGGTCGTTTGACCCCAGTACTCTTTCCTGCCATGGCAGGGGGTCGGACTCGATGATCTGCTCAGGTCCCTTCCGACCCTACAAACTATGAAACTATGAAACTATGTTTACACTAAGGTGTAGGCTTGAGTGGCTATGCCTTAATATAACAGGAGCTGAGTAACACACATCAGAGGGGCATCAAATCCTGCCCTGAGTTGAGCCATGTGCTCAAAACTAGTTTCAGGTGCAAATGTGCAGACAATGCAGGTATTAAGAGCTCCAGGAGCCACCCCAACTTACCATGTAACACAAAGAAAGTGTCTGAATGGTTTAGTGTGTCCAGTGTCGGGGGAGGGGGGTTACTTGTGTTTTTTCTCTCTCTTTTTTTGTAATAGCCAAGTGAGTATTATATCATTTGTAAAAGTATCTTCAGCTAAATTCACTCAGTCCCTGTAGGACTTAGTCTTGTCTGCAAGAGTTCTATAAATATTTACCATTTGAAAAATCAGGCAGTCAGTCCTGCTTAAATGTTGTCTGTGCACAGCAAAAAAAGAAAGAAAAAGTAAATTATAATCTGATTAGATTTGATTAATAATAGGAAAGGGAATAGTTGATTCTCCTTAATTAAAATAGCTAATTTATAACTTACTGTGCCACATTTATTAATCAGTAATAATACTATACTAGTGTAAAAATGCAAGTTAAAAGAAAATATTTGGCTTCAAAGTCTATTCTCTTTCATCTATTTGCCTAGAGCTGCACTCAGCTCAGAGGGACAGATGTTCAGCCAATGTAAAGTCAGTGAAGCTACACCAATTTACACCAGTCAAAATCTGTTCCAGATTTTTTGCTCCTCGGGGCTTAGTTAAGTTTTAGCTGTGGTCCATGAAGGCACACATCTGATTCTGGCATTCCCTTCCAATTCAGATTATGACTTTTTTCTTTTTTCTTTTTTTTTTTTTTTAAGAATTGAACCAACTTGAAATATCAAAGGAAACCTTAGCTGGAACAATTTTGTAGCACAAATCTGAGATGATTTTGATATGAAACATGTAACTGGCCTAAGGCTTATGAAGGGTTTGTTAATAAGCAGCAGACAAATGGTATGCTCCACTTCTCAGGGGTGGGGTGTCTAGGGCAGGGTAACTGGGGCAGCTGCCCTGGGCACCAACTTGGCACTGGGAGATGAAACATAGCTGTTACTCAGCCACTCAAACACAATTGCATGGTGCAGTGGCAACTGGAAGCTGTTCTGTGTGTCACACCTCTGTTTCTCAGGTGCTAGATAAGATATTAGATTGCATAACTGGCCAATAGTGGAGTCCCAAACAAGCCCTTCTCTAACATGTGGAAGTATAGTAACATGTTGGTAATATAGTGGTCAGCCTTTAGCCTCAAAATTCATTCCTCCCATCAGAAACAGCTTCATCCTGCAACATGTTTAGAGCCCTCAATTCCCCTAGTAGTCTACAGGAAGAGGCCTTTCACATCCCAGCTGGGAGCAGTTCTACTGGTATCTCATAAACCGATCACCAAATTATTCCAGTTTCAAACCAAGATAGCAACCTCTATTTTGCATAATTCTATAATTCAAGATCAGACTATCTTTTCATTTATTTTTCCCTTGTTTCCTTTTCTATCAATGTGTTAATGAATTAAAGCTTTCAGTGCTAGTCCTCACCATGGCCCTTGCCATTTTCTATTCAAACTTGGCACTTGCTAGAAGGAAAGGGTTTAGCTGGCAGCTCAGGTTATGAGGCTGCCAAAGTACTGATTGCTCACAGAGAGGGAAAGACAGAGTGGTGCTGAATACCAGCCAGTTTGGCTCCCTTCAAAGTCACTTCCTCTCTGTGACTTTATCATCTCATGAGGCTACCTCAGTGATGAAAATTATAAACAGAAAGCACTTCATTTCCTCCTTTGATTTATTTCCCTTTTCTCTTTTCTTCTGTTTTCAGGAAAACCCAACACCGAACAAGGCTCCATGGGACAGTTTCAAAAACACAAGTGAATACCAACACTATACTACGATAAACGTATTAGACACAGAGGCAAAAGATGCTTTAGAACTAAGACCAGCAGAATGGGAGAAGTGTCTGAACTTGCCTTTAGATGTGCAAGAAGGTGACTTTCAAACAGAAGTTTAGCAAAATTTAAACAAACTGAACAAACACAATGAATTATTTGCACTGACACTAAAGAGACTTTGGGAAGCCTGACATTCCTGTCTGAACATTGTGACTATTTTATGTCAGGATCTTCATGTGCCAAATGTCAGTGGTTTTTTCGTACAGTATATTCCCACTGGTAAAGCTAGTGGAGAACCAGGTGTACAATTCTTACCATCGTGTGTTGTAAGTACCCGTGGAATGGATTTGTAAGGTAATCTTTATAGATAAACCTCAAGCAACGATTCATGTTGTAACAGCTTCATTTGGTTTAGTTTTCAAAAAACTTCACCATGAAGCACAATGTATATATTTATGCAGTTTTTAAAGTTTATAACAGTCTGTTTGGCCATTACTACACTTTTTACTTTATAATATAAAAGCAAAGTTTTTGTCATTAAATGAATGTCTGTTGAGCTACATTCTTCATTGCTTTAAATGCAATAAAGTAATAATCTCACTTTTATATGAATAATATATTTCACATCTTTATTATTGCAGTTTTCTCTGGAAAGCTCAGACTAGCTTTCTCTGCTGCAGCTGTGTATAAAATATTTAAAATGTTGTATGGTGTAAATAAACTTTTGTCTACATATCAGTTTTTTTAGTGCATTTTATTTTGGATTTGTTGATCTTAAATTTGCATATTTATAAAGTTTTCTTTAAAAACACAGATACTGAAAATGTATTCAGAGTTGTAATAGCATACTGTTATAACTCCTTTGAGGCTAATAATTTCTCAAATGTAATAGTAGGTTTGTATAGCTGTTCTGTATTTTCTACTCAGATATTCTTTGAGACAATGTACCATGTAAATTGGACGTGTCAGAATACTGCTCCAATTGTTCTATTATATAAGTATTATGTTTTTTCTGTCTTGTTGCAGAAAGACAACTAATAGAAAATAAGTAAGCTACTATGCACTACACCCCAAGGAAAATGTTGATTGATAATCATTAAATTTTGTGCATGTACTCAATGAGAAGAAAGCCATTTGTGCTTCTTGTTGCTGTATAACAACAAGAAAAACTTTTGCACTAATTAACAATCAAAAGTCAAACATAGTTCTTAAGGGGAAAAACAGTGTGCTTCATATTATAAATAAAGACGTAATTTATTTTATATCAAGAACTATACATTTAGGACTAAATCCACAAATGGATGTAGGCAGCTAGCTGCTTCATCCCATATTTAGTGCCTACATCTCATATTTAGACAATCAACAACCCTGCTCTGGTACCACTTGACCTACAGGCACCCAATATCTATACGTTTCTGAGATTAAACTTTCATCAGTGTCTAAAGGTCTGATTCTGAGCATGCTTAGAAGTGCCTGAGTCCCTGCTGTACTAACTACTCAAAAGTGGGGAAATATTCAATGTAACTTGGATTAGAAGACTGATTCCTTTAATCTGGTTGTTAGGGTACTCTCCTGCAAGGAAAGAAATGTGCATTCAGAGTCCCTCAGGCAGAAAAGGTCCTAGGTCTCCCACATCTCAGGGCAGTATTCTGAAAAAAGATCTATTGGATAAAAGGCCACCAAGGTATCAAGTGCTCTTTCTCTGTCCATTTTTAGAAAAGGAAGATTGTCCCCAGTTCATTTCACAAATGACTGAAGGCTTAGACATTTAACTTCAAGAGAAGGTTTAGGGCTATGAATCCTGTGAGAGAGAAGAATGTAGGATCATAAGATCACAAGAAAGTAGGGCTAGAAGGGACCTCATGAGGTCATCTGGTCTGGCCCCTGCTTAGGAAAGAATCGCCCATAATTAAATCATCCCAATCAAGTGTCTGTATTTATTTACTATCAAACCTGCTCTTGAAAATTCCAGTAATGGAGATTTATCAGCTTCTCTAGATGGCCCATTTCAATGTTCAATCACCTTCATAGCCAGAATGTTTTTCCTAGCTTCCAACTTAAATTTCCTCTGCCGTAGTTTGAGACCACTGTTCCTATTCCTGTCCTCTATTGCCACAGGAAAAAAAAATCTACCTCTATACTCTTTGTATTCTCCCTCCATCTCAAGGTAGAATTTAAAAATACAGCCCTGGTCTTGGCATCCCTAATGGCTACCTCATATGGCTCCCTAAATGTACCAATATGATGTATAGAGAGCCTAGCCACCTAACTTGACTGTTGTGCATTGTGTTACATAGGTGGATGCCTAAAAACTAGGTGCTGTAATACTCAGCATTGCAATGCCAAAGTCTCCTTTGTGGATCTATCCTGCATCAAAAGAGAAAGACTGAGGGAGCTGACTGTCATAGTTGTCTGGGTGACTTAATAAAATCACTGTGGTCAGACATAAAGATGAGCCAAAGCCTAGTCCTGAATGTAAACTCCTTCACATTTTGAAGGAGTGGATTTGGATTAGAAGTCCTGGATTTGGATATGCCCCTATGTTTTTGGAATCAAACACCAACCAGGAAAGGCCTTATTTTCCACTTTGGGTACAAATGCTGCCAAAAATTCATATTCTCACAATAGTCCAGCCTAAGAGAATGGAAGCTCCTCAAAGGGAATAGATTTTATGAAAACATCAATGTAGGAGGTGTCTGTGCCATCCAATGCCATTTTCAGGCACCAGCCACAGTCCAGTCCCTAACTGATATTTGTATCTAATCCTAAACCCAAAGTGGAAAACAGAGTACATTTATGCTGCAGTCACAGTGACTGCAGTGTAGTGTAGAGACAAATGAGCCCTGAATTAGCTATAAACCACCTAGCACAAATACTGGTAGCTGCAGTAGCAAGGAGTTCGTTGCAGGCTGCAAGACCCACCCAAAAAGAAGGGTGCATTAACTGCACTAAGCTCTATGCTTTTGCAGCTCTACTGCTACCAGTACCTGAACTAGCTAGCGTAAAGCTAGGACAGGTATTTCTACAGTGCACTGTAGACACTTCTGTTCTGCAGTATGTACTGAAACACAGACCCATTTTTATTGATAGCCTGTTGGCTGCATTACCTTTCTTCATGTATGTGTGTACAAGAATTATTATATATTAATATTGTCTTAATATATTTCATAGTTATAGTAATTGAAGGCCTTAAGCACATGTTAGAGCACAACGCTTTCAATGATTTATTTGACTGGTGTAATGTTAAACCAGAGCTCTCCTGTCTTCTGCATGCAGCCAAGTCTTTGAGAAGGTGGTTTCTCACTGTTTCTGAATACTGCAGCACTAAGAGAACAAATGGACTGTATAAATGTATTATTTATTAATAATTTTTAAAGCACTGTCTCTGTGTATGTGTGGCACCTATACTATAGACAAACACAAATTCATGCCTTGCCCTAAAGGGTTTGCAGCCTAAAAACTAGACCCAGAGAAGACCAAGGGCACTGGAAAACCTAAAAGAGGGAACTGATGCTGGTATATTTTGTATAAATATATAGCTTTTTCTTTTATTAAGAACCAAGTTTAGGACCAAAAACACATCAGAAAATTCAACAGTCTAGGCATCACAACCTGTTAGTTTTTAGATGCTAGAAAGTTTTTGTTGGTTTGGCTGTTCTAAACAGTAAACATTATATGAAAATATATCTTAACTCGGTTTAAAAAACCAGAATCCTGGAAATGTGTGCTTCAAAAGCAAATGTATCCCAGCTTTGCAGAAGAGTGAGGGAGTGATTTCTAGCAGTTTACTGCTGTACAACTGTGGCCCAGCTGCTGCTGTATGAGGGAGCCAAGGTTACAGGGCACATTGCCCTCAACAGATCCACATCAGTCAGACAGAAAAACAAGACATCTAAGTCTTTTCTACTTGGTACAGCTAGTGGGGACGTGCTCAAGCTGAAGGAACTAGGGGGGAAAAACTAGGTCTGCATTGCACAATTTCCATGGCATTGTACAAAACGATGTCATTGTATCCAGAATTTTCCAGGAAGGTTAATTGTGAGTCATTCAGTTTAACATTTCCTTTCATGCTCTGTGACATGCACTGAAGAGTATAAGTGAAGCTGGCTGCTACTAAGTTACCATAGGTAGAAAGATAATTTCACCATTCTGACAGTGCCATGGAGGGGAATGGCTCGGTCGAACACAGTCACAGTGCTGTTGAGCTTGTATAGCTGAGATGCATACAAATCCTGAGAGACAGATGAGAGTCCTAGCAGCTATCTGTTTTGCTGTCTGCCCCAGAGAAGCAATGTTGTGTTTCTCCGAGGAGCCTGCCTGCCAAGACTTTCCTGCCAGAAAACTCTTTTCTGATGTGGCAGGGAAGACATAGATGACAGGATTATTTAAAAATGGATTAATTTTATATGGACTACATTTGTAAAAATATCAATTTCTCTTCAAACTTCCCCAGTTTGGAAATAATGTGCTGCTTCTGCACTACCAGGAGATGCAAAGTTTAGCACCAGGAAAACTTACCACTTCTGAGGAGACCTCTCTGAGATCTTTGAGATCTCTATTATGCAGAGGCAAGATGCAGTCACTATTTGTGCCCCCCAAAAAAATCCAGCGATACAAAAGATACATTAAGGACCAAAGGGTTAGGATACTATGTATTGACTTCTACATTTTGGTTCCTCACACCACAACTGGGAAAATTTTACATTCCCAGGATCGTGTTGTATCTCTAGGTATGGATGTAATAAATAAACCCACTTATTGAAACTTCCACAGGGAGCACAGCAGGCATTTTGGCATATCAAGAGCATGAGTCTGTCAAAAGGATCCAGGAGGCTGTTAACCAAGGAGACAGCTTTTCCAGACAGGCCTGATTTGATATGGCCCTTTTGTTCTTCATGTTCCCTGTTCCTCTTCAAGCTTTCAGGAACATTAAAATGCACCCCTTTCCTTCTGCAAGAAAAGCACACACTAGGGATCTCAGACCTACTGATTGCACTCCCACTCAGATGACCTCTTATATAGTTGCAACTTGCCTCCCACTCCTCTTCCAAGTGCTAGTGAGCACTTCGAAGAAAATTTTCTTTTTATTTTCAAGGCATGGATCCCCATGGAAGTGGAACTTAGGAAATCTCTCTCACTTCCGCTAGCCCTTTCCTCAGATGCTAGGAAAAGGTATACACAGGCTAACAACTAGCAAAAGAGTAGGCTTCTCATCTTTGTCAGAAGACAGGAAGTGCTCATAGGTTATTCTGTTTTCCCAAGAAGGCCAAGCCTCAGAAAGACAGCAATTTGCAGCCAAATGCATATAATTCATACTAAATTCAACATAAGCAGCCTTCCCTTAAGAAAACTCTGAACTGCTCCTTAATCCAGAAGAAGAAATGGACCAGAAGTAGTTCAGTTTTGATGGGGCTTTTCCATCTAATGACTGTTTAATGTAAAAGGCATTAGCAGTCCTTGGGGTAAAGTTTGGACTCTCCAGGTCACCCCCTCTTGCAGGTGAGAACCTTAGTCATAATCATGGCCCCACTTGCTTCTTCGTGCTGGCCCAAAGGATCTTAAATTCTTCTTTTTCCAAAGTGACACAACTTCAAGAGACAGGGTAGAGAGTGTCATCCCTCCCAAATAACCTTATAGGCAGGACACTCTGAGAGGGAATGAGGGAGGTGAGCTGGCATCTCCTCCAGTGTGGTGGCTATACAAACAGCTCTACAACCACCTGGGTTCTTTTATTAAATAGGAGGTTTTCTTCTTTAAAAAAAGGAGAATTTTAAAAAAGAAATGCTCTGTGTTTCATTTTTAAAGGAATGACTTGTCTCTAACTCCAGGTAGGGTATGGACAGTGAATCTTAACTGACATAATAGTCAGGTTCAGATATGTTGACAACTAGCCTGCCAGAGGCCCAGAAATGGGTACATATACATGTTCTCAGCATGTGCCTGTTAGATTAGGAAGTGAACTAGTCAGTATACTGGTTTGTGTGACTCCCATTCTAAGGTAGCTAACTGGCCTCTGCTGGGAACTTCGACACTTAACCCAGAGCTATGAGTCCTACTACAGGAGCGAGGCATCCAAATGTGATGTTCAGCATTGCAATGTATAAGACCTTTGCAGATCCAGTCCAGTGATTCTCAACTCTGGGGTGCACTGCAATCCTTTCAGTGGTGCCACAGCATGCCACGCAATGTTTGCACTGCTAGGTGTGCAAGCATGATTCACAAGATAAACCTATAGGGCACCTATATATGTGCCTGACACCTGCTTTGACATGTGCCAATTAGTATGCATTGGAGCAGACTCAATTAACTGAGTCTGCTGGAGATTGCTAATTAACATGCTCCATCAGCCTCAGTGTCTCATGTATTCAGTGTCCCCATGCTTCAAAATGGTGGTAGGGGCACTTTGAAGCTCATCTAACAAGCTTTAATTAAAGCACCCCCACCACCATTTTGAAGTGTGGGATGGTGAATAGACGAGATGCAATGGGATCTTTAATTAGAGCAGGTCCCAAGAGCTGCTCTAATTAAAGTGCCCACCCACCACCCAAGAGTATACCCAGAGATTTCAAATGGGAATTCATAGTGTTAAAAAACATTCTGGGTGTATCTACATGTGCAATTGGCATTGGGAAAGAAACTCTGGAACAGTTTGCCCCGAAGTCAGCTGCTCCCAGGCACAGCAGCTTCATGTGCACCTGGGAACCACAGCTGTTTGATCTGGGGCGGATCAGCCCTGTGCTGAAAGGGAGCCAGAGTGGTCATCCCTGTGCTCCAGGTAGCAGCACTGGGTGGTGGAGAGGATGGCTGGGGCAAAAGGTGTTACAGATAGCCAGCAGGCAGCCCCCACACTGTAGGACCCTCATGCCCCAGCCAGCCCCAGTCACCATCTACAAGTGTGTTGAGGCACACTAAATGACTACGCCATAGGGCAGGGGTGGGAAATTATTTCAGGTGGAGGGCCGCTTACCCAGATTTGGCAGGCTGTTGAGGGCTGCATGGGTAGCCCCGCCCCTTGACAGGTGCTCCACCCCCTGGTCACCATCTTGGGACCAATGTCCCAAGGCCAGCACCAGTAGGGCCCAAAGTGTGTGGCAGGGGTCGGTGGAGCTAGGTTGAGTTGCACCAGCAGGGAGAGTGGGGAGCTGGCCCAGCTCCATAGAGCCCCTGCCGGCTGGGACACCATGCTCCTGCCACCCTGCTGTGGGCCCCACCAGCACTGGCCCCAGTACACCAGTGTGGGCCCCGTGTTCCTGCTGGCTCCTGCACCCATACACACCCAGTGCCCCCCGCCCTGTGGTACAGGAGGAGGCAGCGCACAGGTCCAACCCCCTTCTTACTGGCCCCTTTCCCACCCCGTGGCCGGCCCTCACTGCTGCAGGCGCTCGCAGACCATGTGGGGCTGTCTGGAGCAGAAATAGGCAGCCCCATGCGGGCTGCAAGCAGCTGCAAGTGGCTGCAGTGCGGGGCGCCAGCCATGGGGTGAGTGAGGGGCCACTTTTCCCCGCACTCAGCACCAGCTTGTAACCCAGCCCTGCTGCCAACCTGGGCTCTAAGTTGGCTCCAGGCTCGCCCTTTGGCAGCAGCAGCTGCGGCCCCACCGCTTGCTGCGCTGGGAAGTCTTAGCTGCTGCTGCTGCTGCCTGCCCAGAGCGTGTGCGCTGGGCAGCACAGAGGCAGTGGTGGCAAATACTGCCCAGTGCGGCAAGCAGGGAGCCGCAGCTGCTGTCACCACACGCAGCCCCGACGGGCAAGCCCGGAGCCGGAGAAGGGCCCAGGCTGGCAGTGGGGCTGGGTTACAAGGTTGTGCTGAGCATGGGGGGGGAGGGGAGTGGCCCCTGCTGGGGATTCCAGCTGTGGGGGTGGGGGTGGGGCTGGCTGGGCCCTGCTGTTGTGGGAGCCCATCGAGCTTCCCCTGGGTTCCAGTGCCCTTGGTTCCTGTCATTTTTGACAGGAACCAAGAACAGACAAATACTAATTTTCTAAATTTTTTAGGGGGCCCTGCAGTCTGGATAGAATGGCCTCGTGGGCTGGATCTGGCCCCCAGGCCATTTTTGGCTACCCCTGCCATTGGGTAATACTTGTCCCTGGACAGTACTATCCTACGGTGGAGTTAATTAATTTACTGTGCCTTAATATGAGTCTACACATAAATGGTGATGCTTTATTGCAGAACTAATCAGTTAGCTCCACAACAAAGATCATGTGTAGATGCTCCCTCCCTGTTCTTGGAAACAAAAGAATTGCTGTATTATTTCTTTTGTAGTAAAAAAATTGAGTGACAACTAACAGCTGACATTTTCTGGGAGATGCATTGAGTCTAAAGACAGGTGCCTTGAGTCTTAAAAGGTTGAGAACCACTGACTTAGTCTTTAGACACCTACATTCTCAGAAAAATCTAATCACTAGAAACAATTTTAAGAAAGGTTCTTGAGTGTTTCTCCAGCATTGACTCATGCCATTATTTACTATGTTATATTGTTGGACTGCTGACTCCAAAACTTGCAAATGGTGATGCCTGAAACTCCTAATAATATAAAAAAGAAACAACAATTGATTAGCATAATGTTAGTTTTCTTATCCAATGTATCCCTGGGCATGACTGCTTTATCACCTGCCCTTTCTATTAAAATTGTAATAAAAAGATGCACTTCAGGACTCAGTTTAGGATACTTAGGTTTTCAAACATTGGTTATTGTTTTAAGAACTATTATCTCTTCTGATATGCTCTTTGGGAAAGAACAAACTAAAAGGTGATCTACACATGCTAATTTTGCAGAAACAACACTAAAACTGAATAATCCTCTTCCAAATCTAGATTGGGTTTGAGATCTCAGAAGTCATAGGCATTCTGAGATTTCAGAAGCAGGGCCAAGAAGTTAAAACAAAATATAAAGTATTAACTTATCACACCATAAAACAGTGATCTTTCTCTGCATGGGGAAAGAAGGAAAGGGAAGAGGGCCTTCTCTCTCCCCTTCAGTGAGCCTCAGGGTGCCTATAGACTTACATCAAGGCTGGTCCGATGCACTGTAATTACAGCATGCTGGAAAAGACTCAATTAATCGTAATCAAGTAGTAATTACCATGTTCCAGCAGACTCCAGCATCACGTGATTTAGCATCCCTGCACTGAAAAATGGCAGCAGGGGCTCTTTAACTAAAGCTTATTCAATGAGCTTTAGTTAAAGGACTCCCATCGACATTTTTCAGTGTGGGGATGCTCATACATGTGACTCTCTGGGCACTTTAATTAGAGTGGCTCTTAAAGCCACTCTAATTAAACTGCCCCCTCCCTTCCTCCTGCCTCCCAGAGCATGTGTATAAATGCCCTCAGGGAACACCACAAGAACTAATAGTGTTATAAGTGGTCTCTTTCAGGTACTAGATAGAAATCTTTCTCCCCAAAAACATATTTTAGAATAATATCATTGGAATCAAGGAAATAAAAGGAGCAGAGAGCTTTGTAAGACAAGTTCCTGTGATCACAGTAATTGTTTTCTGAGAGGCCGTCAAAATACAGAGGGCCAAACTTAGTCCTTGGTCTGAAATTGTGCTACAAATTTGCATCATACAATGTTTCCAGAATATAAATGTTCTAGAGTATCATCATTATCACCACAGTAAAATTTGGCAGCTTTGTTCCCCAATACCTGACACAGTACCTCCATCTGACTTTTATTGGTGAAAAATAGCCACCTCAGAAGCTGATCACCACTATGGTACCTATTCTGTTTCAACAGAAATTTCACATCAGTCCTTTTCTTAACTTTACAATAAGCCAGTTGGAGCCCGATAATTCCCTCTCCCCTCCCCCACTGTCGTGACAATAGAGAAATCTACTTCTCCACCAAATAATTTACATCAACCCAGAGAAGAGCACCATCATCCCATCTCACCATGTTAACTCTACTTCAACATAACATAAGAGCTAAGAAGACAACACCTGTAAGACACATCAAAGATATCCATCAACATGATAGATCTTTCATGGTGGGGGAGTGAGTGACCATCTTCCCCATTACATGATTAGTTTCAATAAATCTGGCCTTTCCACTGATATCTGGTTGAAAAGCTACTCCCCCCTCAGTGGAAAAATTGAAAGACACAATATCTTTTGGAGGCTCCACTCCCCAGTCAGCTCAGAAACGAAAAGCTCAGAAATACCTTCAAATCACCTTTGAAAGAATTTTGCTGCTCTTGTAGCAGTGATGCATGTGGTGGTCTCTATAAGGTAGGTGTTCCAAGTTGATCAAATTTGGAACACATCATTTGACAGCAAAACTTTGAAGTGACAGGGAAGTTCAGTGCATTTGCTTTCCTTCAGAATTCAAGCATGCAACTTTTCAATCCTGATCTGTACCCTATGTATCACACGCATCAGCAGAAGTCTTTACAAGCAAGTCTTCAGAATTATGCTATGGACAGAGTCACATCCTCTCTTTCTACAGGAGTTATGCATGTGGCTGTAAACAAGTAGATTAGCTTATTCACCAAATCCTGCTCCTTAGAGAACAGTTTATTAACAAATATGCTCCAATTTATTTAGGTAATAGCAAGGGAAAAACTTCACCGACCAGGAATTTACAGTATAGCTGAATATGATCTATGCCAATATTCAAGAAAACAGTAATCCCTGGAAGCCTGATATTCTTATTTTTTAATCTATTCCTTAGGCCCTTGTGGAAGAGGAGGAACAAGGAAGCAAATATCATACTGTTTACTCTGCACTGATCTGATCTAGCACGGTCTGACCTCTCATATGTCTGCAGCTGTCATCCATGTTATTTATCTCACTTCTCTAGAAGTTTGCTGTATTATAAAATGCTTCTCTGCCACCTTTGTAACCCAGCTTTGTTGCAAGATCTTTATTGTGTACCAGCCCCATCTACTTTAACAACCATGGCTTTAACCAACAATATTGTGCCAACTGGATAGCTGGGACTTGAAAAATAAGTTTTTCCTACCTCTCGGGACAGGATTTGATAAGTGGAAAATCCCTGAGTGGAATGAAGGGATAGGGGTAAGAGAAAAGGTATCTAAGAAAGAGGGTTTGGGGGACAGCTACACAAAGGCATACAGAAAGCCTTGAGCAGAAAGTGTGTGGGGGTGGGAAATTGAGCTTTTGTGTTGAAATGAAGTGATTTAAGCTGTAGAACCAGCCAAGGTCAGGAGAGGGTGAGATAAGCCGAAAAAAATTCCTTGGTAAGAAGCCAAGATACGAGCTGTTAAAAAGGATGCTGGATAACCCCCGAGAATATGACCCTAGCCTAAAGGATGTTCCGGCATGCTAATGCAATTAAGACACAATATGCATCAAAAGCATATTATTTTTTTCTACATCTATATATTTAGGGTAGACTCCTACTTTACCAATTAGGGGTACATTCTGTTATCCAATTTAAGAATATTATTCATGGGCAGAGGTCACTTAACATGGTTAAATCCAATTTTTAGTTTCTATTTCTACTTGTCTTCTCCCATCTAGGGAACTTATGCATATAGTGCCTGGTATGCAGCTAAATACAGCAGCATGGAACAGCTGCACATCTCCACATTCAACTGTTCTTATGTGGCTAGAGATGGTCTATAGGGTGTCCCTAGCAGAGTAGGGCCCTGTGTAGCTAAAAAAACTATATCAGGCTCAGAGCTGTTTGGATCCAAGAAACAGAGGGTCATGGATCCCTACCTAGAGGTGTAAGGTAGGAGGTTAGGGAGAGATGGGTATGCAACCCCAAAGCTATACTGCCCTAAGGGATGTTCTTAATTTTCTCCTAGGTGCACCATCTGCCAGGCCCTGTGTCTGTGAGGGTTAGGCTTGGATGTAGGCAGCTGGACCTGCAGCTAGGCCCTAAGAAACAACTAGGAGGTCAGCAGGATAGGGGCACAAGTGATCAGATTATCAGGTCAGTGGAGCAGAGAGAGTACAACCTAGCTCCCGGGGAGCCAGGAGGGGAGATCCAAGAGACATGGTCTGAGATGTAAGCTGAGGTCAGGAGCTAGGGGCTAGAGAGCCAGTGTCAAGTTCTAGGGAAAATCCGAGATCAGGGTTAAGAAAGTCAAACCAAGGTCAGAAGTGAGGAGAACTCTGAAGAGTTGTGAATGCGAGGCTTGCCAGAACAGACTGAGGTTGTGTCAAGGCATGCCTGCAGCCTGAGGCCTACAGGTGTGCTTATAAGGGGTAAGTTGCACTTTTGGCAGCCAGTCCAGCTGCAGAGAACTGGGGAACTTGCATTTTTTAGGGATCAGGGGCAAATGTGGTAACTCGGGTGTTTGGCATGCTGGGCATGCTTGATCAGAGAGAAGCCTGATAGTGCCAATAAGGGAAAGCAAGGCAGGGGGTCTCTGCTAGGCTCCCATGTACCCACCTCATCTCAGAGCTTTCCTTTCAGAGGCTTCTACCCTGATCTCTGGGATAGAGATTATGGAGTCTGTATGTACAGGTAGCAAACTCCTGGCTGAAGCTCCCCACTGTTGCCTACCTCTGCCTCCCCTCCAGTAAGTGTCACCTTGCCCACTACCTGAGGTCCCTCCATTGTTTTGAAAGCTTTGGGCATGCTAAGGCTGGCACTGGTGTACCCATGTTGATTGTTACCTGGTCAGCAGTGGGTAGCCTGCCATCTAATCCTTTTAAGGGAAGCCTGACAACATGGCCGGACTGAGCAGCCAATAAGAGCCCCTTGGGTGGGCCCTGCTAATAGACAGATATACCTGATTGACTACAGAGACCCGCCAGACCACCTGGATTCTGTGTAGCAAAACCCCTAGTTTTTCTTTTTTTTTTTCTTTTAAAATGCATTCCCTCCCCTTCCCCAACCGTTTCTGACTTTTTCTCTCCCTCTCGATTCCCTATAGATAAGTATAAGTAAGCTAAGATGTAGGACAAGCTTTAACATTTTATTTTAGGTAGTAAATTTTATTTTTCTCTCCCCTCTTTGCTATTTTGATATAGATATCCACTCTTTTATAAGTGATAATTATTATGTTTGTATTGATTTTTTTTACTGCTTTTATATTGTGTGATAACTATTTTAGGCCTACATATGTAAGTTAGCATAAGTCATGTCAAGTTTCCATCTTCTAATGTCAAGCCTCCATCTTGTGTCCCCTGGCCTATGACTCATACCTACCCCTCCTATATAACTTGGTTCCTGAATGAATGGGGATGAATGAAGGTGCTTGAGACACAATGGCAGTAGGTCTAAAAAATAGCTCCCTCTGAATGACTGAACCATGAACACCAATACCTGGACCAACAACCCAGCCCTTGGAACCACCTATCAGCATTCAAGAAACAAAAGATAAGGCAATCCACCATTGTGCCAGGGCTCCGCATGCTCACTAAGAACACTTGAAGCCCTCTGGAACAGGAATGACCTTGCCTGGACAGGGCCTCCCCATAGGAGATCAAAAGTAGCCTGCCCCATAAAAAGGAGTAGTGAAGGCTGACTCCTTGGGACCCCCTCTCCATCTAGACCAGCACCATTCCACACCACCTATCCACCCAAAGGCCCTGCTGGAAATCCCCTTTGGACAACACCTACTAGACAATGACCCCTTTCCAGCCTGGATAGGTAGCTAT